ATAAAACAGAGGAAGGTTGGTACAGATGTTAGCTCAAGGCAAATCTTCCTCAGCAAAAAAAAAAAGAAAGAAAGAAAGAAAAAAAGAACGAGACAGCCCAAATTACTAATATTTTCACCACAGATCTTACAGATATTAAAAAGATAATAAAAGGATATAATAGCAACAACTTTATGCAAAAAATTTTAATTTTTATATAAAATGGACAAATTTCTTGAAAACCACACTTACCTGAAACAAAATGGAACATCTCAATAGTTGTATTTTTATAAAAGAAATTGAATTTGTAATTCAAAGTCTTCCCACAAAGAAAGCTCTAGGTCCATGGGCCAGCCCAGTGGCATAGTGGTTCAGTTCACATGCTCCACTTCAGCAGCCCAGGGTTCACAGGTTCAGATCCTGGGCACGGACCTAGCACTGCTCATCAATCCATGCTGTGACAGCATCCCACATTAAAAAAGTAGAGGAGGACTGGTACAGATGTTAGCTCAGCGACAATCTTCCTCAAGCAAGAAGAGGAAGATTGGCAACAGATGTTAGCTCAGGGCCAATCTTCCTCACAAAAAAAAAAAAAGAAAAAGAAAAGAAAAGAAAGAAAATTCTAGGTCCAGATGGCTTCATTGGTGAATTCTTCCAAACACGTAAAAAATAATATGGATCTTACACAAGCACTTCCAAAGAAGAGAAAAAGAGAGAACACTTCCCAATGTACTATATGATGTCAGCATAGCCTTGTTATCAGAACCTAACAGGACCTTACAGAAAAGAAAATCAAACCTGGCAATATAGAAAAAGGATAATAAATCATGTTCGAATGGGAATTAATTCAGAAATGCAAGGTTAACTTTGAAAATAAATTAATGCAATTAACCAGGGCCAGCCCCGTGGCCTAGTGATTAAGTTTGCATGCTCTACTTCGGCAGCCCAGGGTTTCACTGGTTCAGATCCTGGGTGTAGACATGGCACCACTCATCAAGCCTTGCTGAGGCGGCATCCCACATACCACAACTAGAAGGACCTACAACTAGAATATACAACTATGTACCGGGCGGCTTTGGGGAGAAAGAAAAAAAAAGAAGATTGGCAACAGATGTTAGCTCAGGTGCCGATCTCAAAAAAAAAAAACTAACGTAATTAACCACATTAACACATTACAGTCATGGATCACTTAACGATAGGGATACGTTCTGAGAAATGGGTTGTTAGGCAATTTGCTTATCGTGCAAACATCGTAGAGTGTACTTACGCAAACCTAGATGGACACCTAGGCTAAATGGTGTTAATCTTATGGGAACAACTGTCATATAAGCAGTCCGTCATTGACCAAAATGTTGTTATGCGGCACATGAGTGTAAACAAAAAAAAGATAATCTCAATGGATACAGACTGAGCAGTTGATAAAAATTTAGCACCCATTTATGATTTTAAAAAAACCTCTCAGAAAACTAGCATCAGAGAGGATCTTCCTTAATCTGATAAAGAGTAGCATCATACTTCGTGGTGAATATTTGAATGTCTTTCCTGAGATCAGGAAGGTGACAAGGACAAGGATATCTGCTATCACCACGTCTATTCAGGACTGTACTGGAGGTCCTAGCCAGGGCAATAAGGCAAGAGAAAAAAATATATAAAAATTTGAAAGGAAGAAATAAAATCATGATTATTCGTAAGGGGCATGATTGTGTATGTAGAAAATCCAAAAAAAAAATCTACAGATGAATCATTAGAATTAATAAGTCAGGTTAAGAAGTTTGCATCTTTTTTCCTTCCATCCATCTTAGGTTCATTGGCTGGGGCCCTGTAAATTAGACTCACAAGAAGACAAACTAACAAGAGGAAAACAGAAGTTTATTAGCATGTGCATCATGCATACACTTGGGAGCACTCAGAGATATGTAAAAGGGGTGATTAGAACTTGAGCTTATGTAGCATCTTAACAAAAGAACAATAAATTTGTAGAGAAGTGACAAGACAAAGGAAAATGACTGAGTTTCTAGGGCAGCAAATTGCAGGAAAGCAAATATATAGGAGAACTAATAGAAAACAAGGGCTGGTTGGTAAAGTTTGTTGTGTGGATTCCTTTGGCGCTCGCTGCATCTGAGCTGATAGGGGTCTAGAGTCGTCTCCAGAGATTAAGTTTTGTCCTTCTTGGTAGGGAAGGGAGAGGGAACACCTTTACAAACTAATGCCCAACTTTTAGGCAAATAGGAGGGCAGAGAGCTTTTCTTGTATCTGCTTCTTCTCAACTGTCTTCAGTTCAAAATGATCCTTATGCCATAGTGGCATATTTTGCAGTGGCACATTCTGCTACCCTTCACTATATATAAGATTAAGATAAAAACTCAATTATAGGGCCGGCTCCCTGGCCTGGTGGTTAAGTTCAGTGCGCTCCACTTCAGCAACCCAGGTTTGGTTCCTGGGTGCAGACCTACACCACTCATTGGCAGCCATGCTGTGGAGGCGACCCACATATAAAATAGAGGACGATTGGCACAGATGTTAGCTCAGGGACAATCTCCCTCAAGCAAAAAGAGGAAGACTGGTAACAGATGTTAGCTCAGGGCGAATCTTCCTCAGGAAAAAGAAAAAAAATCAATTATAGCCTTAAACATTAGGAACAAAAAACATTTTTATGAAATTTTAAAAATACGATTTGTAGGGGCCAGCCTGGTGACTGAGTGGCTAAGTTTGCACGCTCCGCTTTGTCAGCCCACGGTTTCACAAGTTCAGATCCTGGGCCCGGACATGGCACCACTCATCAGGCCATGCTTAGGCAGTGTCCCATATAGCACAACCAGAAGGACCCACAACTAGAATATACAACTATATATTGGAGAGAAAAAGAAGGAAAAGAGAAAGAAGAAGATTGGCAACAGATGTTAGCTCAGGTGCCAATCGAAAAAAAATATATATATATATGATTTGATTTAGCATAATAAATAAAATACATAGAAATAAACCTAACAAAATATTTGCTAGATCTCTAAACAGGAAACTATGAGACATTACTGAGAGTAATTAAAGAAAATCTAAATATATAATTCATAGCAACAGTATCCATAATTGCCAAAAAGCAGAAGCGTAGAAGGGTTATTCCTCAGAAAATTAAGAATAGATCTACCATACGGTCCAGCTATTCCACTGCTGGGTATTTATCCAAAGAACTTGAAAACACAAAGGCATAAAGACACATGCACCCCTATGTTCATTGCAGCATTATTCACAATAGCCAAGACTTGGAAGAAACCTAGGCACCCATCAGGGGACAAACGGATAAAGAAGATGTGGTATTTATACATGATGGACTACTACTCAGCCATAAGAAATGATGAAATCTGGCCATTTGTGACAACATGGGTGGACCCTGAGGGTATTATGCTGAGTGAAATAAGTCAGAGGGAGAAAGTCAAATACCAAATGATCTCACTCATAAGTAGAAGATAAAAACAACGACAAACACTGAGTAACAGAGATTGGGTTGGTGGTTACCAGAAGGGCAGGGGGAGGGAGGAGGGAGAAAGGGCTGATTAGGCACCTGTGTGTGGTGATGGATTGTAATGAGTCTTTGGGTGGTGAACATGATGAAATCTACACAGAATTTGAAATATGTTATGATGTACATCTGAAAGTTACGTAATGTTATAATCCAATGTTACTACAATAAAAAAAATCTACTTGATTAAAAAAAAGAGTAGGATGGTTAAACCGTGGCATATTCATGCCATGGAATATTATACAGTAGTGAAAAGAATGACCTAGGCTACAGGCTGAATCTCATAAACACGATGTTGAGCAAAAGAAGTCGTAATCAAAAGTGGCCACCTTTGGAGGGGAAAGCTTCGGAGGAGGTGTGAAGAAGGCTTCTGGGCTTTGGGTAATACCGTCTTTTCTTATATGGGTGGTTTCATTACTGTATTACTGTACTAACTGAGCTATGAGCTAAGATTTGGCACTTCACGTATGTTACGACCATACTATAAAATACTTTTAAAAAATTTTTCAGGTTTTACAAAAATTACCCAGACCTCAAAAAAGGAAGGAAGGGACAAGAAATACTGAAGGAATAAACTGAAACAATGGAATTATAATAAAGCTAATGGAGTCCACCCCTTGACAGTCTGTGCCAAGCAAACACTTGGTAAACATTCTTACTGAACTCCCATAAGACCTCATGAGGTGGATATTATTTGTCCCCATTTTAGAGAAGCTGAGGTTCAGAGAGGTGAAGTTCCTTGCCAGAGTCACACAGCAATGGCACTAGCTTTGTCTGATTCCGTATCTCACGCTTTTAACCGCTCACCACATCACCTGCCAAACAGGTTCTTTCCCAGGCCTTTTAACAAGCCACCAGCTCACAGCCAAAATAATAACTATCAATTAACACGGCTTACCACCTGAAGTCCTCAAGGTAACCAGAGAAGCAATTACTGTCTCCATTTCTGGGAGGAAAACAGGCTCAGAGAGGGTAAGCCATTGTACCAAGGTCATAGGTAGGAAGGGATGGCGCCAAAATTCAAACCCAAGAATGCCTGACTCCAGGCCCACAGCCTTATCATCACTCTCCACCGCCCAGGAGCTAAGAGGCGTGGATGCCATCCATTCATTCAGCGCTGTATTTTGAGGGCCCACACCTGGCCGGCCCGCTCTAGCCCCCAGACTGTCCCCTTCTGCATGTAGCTCACATTCCAGCGGAGGTGAGAGACAGTACACAAATACCGAATGTCACACGGTGAGACGTGCCGTGAGGACCACTACAAAACAGAAGGCGGATAGTAAGATCCAGTGTAGACGCTGCGGCAGGGGAAGGTCTCTCTGAGGTTAGTGAATGATGGCTGGATGAACGAGAGGATGCAAATGACTCTTTCTCCGTGTCTGGGCTAGCAGAGAGGCCGAACGGGTGGGACATCTTTTGTCCCCAATCCCCCTTCTGGGGAGTCAATTTTAGATGTAATTCTCTTCCTCTCTCAAGCCGGAAAAGCTGAGGTTATTTTTTTCCCCACTCTCTCCTAAAACGAATGAATGAAACGGTTTGGGAAAGAATTCTTCGGGAACCTATTACTACATGGCGACTAGAGCCACAAAAGGGCGCGGGAGTGGTGAGGCGGGACGTCATTGTGACGGTGGCGGGCGGCCTGGCACGGAACGGAGGGCAGAAAGCTCACGGCTTGGTGGCTGATGAGAAGCGAGGGATGGACAAGGAGTCCCTCCGTCCCCCTTTCTCGTGCTTGGGACCATTTCGCCAAAATTTGAGGCCGCAGAGAAGGCCCCAGCGCAGGCGACGCAGCCTCCCCTCCTTTCCCGCCACAGCCAACATCTCCCCACCCTTCACCTGCTCGGCCAATGCGCATGCCCCGACTCCACCAGGCTGGGAGCCCGCCGGCCCAGCCCTACGCATGCGCAGCCTCCCTGCTGCAGGTAACCGACCAGACGAGCGTGCGCCTTCGGCCGCTGTGCGCCAGCGTTGAGGGAGGAGCCCAGGCGGGGCGGGGCTTAGGCGCCGCGCGAGCTCTCGGTGCCGCCCCAGCGTCCTCTTCGCTTTTTCTGGCGGGAACGGCGCACGCGCGCCTGGTCGTTACTCAACTGCCGTTGGTTGTTCGTCGCCTTCGGCTGTGTCCCGAGACTGGGACGTGGCCTCAGGTGAGCTCTGGCTGCGGCGAGGTTCCCCAGGGGAGCGCTGGCAGAGCCCCCGCATCATAGCGGAGGGTCCCCACCGTCAGGGCCCCCCAGACCGTGTCAGAGTCTCCTGGAAAGCCGGCCGAGTCCCCTCGGGAGTGCTGCCAGGGACCCGCCAGGAAACCTTATAAACGCCCCCGCAACCTTGTCGGAACTTTCTAGTTCTGTCGGCCTTCTCCCCCAGAGCCCGCCGGAGACCCCCTGCGGTGCTGTTACGCTCCCTCCCCAGATCCGGTCAGAGACCCCGGAAGTCCCTTCAGAGAGCCCCAGGAATCTTGTGAAACCCGCCAAGGGTCCTGTCGGGTTCCCCTCCCCAAAACCTGTCATAGACCTCGGAACTCCAGTCAGAGATCCCCAGAAATCCAGAGACCCCTGGAAATCCAGTCAGACACCCCCCCCCCCCAGAAATCCGCTCAGAGATCCCCAGGAATCCAGAGACGCCCCTAGAAATCCAGTCAGAGATCCCCAGAAATCCAGAGACCCCTGGAAATCCAGTCAGACACCCCCCCAGAAATCTGCTCAGAGATCCCCAGAAATCCAGAGACCCTCCTAGAAATCCAGTCAGAGATCCCCAGAAATCCAGAGACCCTTGGAAATCCAGTCCTCCACCCCCTCTAGAAATCCAGTCAGAGATCTCCCAGAAATCCAGAGGCCCCTGGAAATCCAGTCAGAGATCCCCAGAAATCCAGTCAGAGATCCTCAGAAATCCAGTCAGAGACCCCCTGGAAATCCAGAGACGCCCTAGAAATCCGGTCAGAGATCCCCCCAAAATCCAGAGACCCTCGTAGAACCCCAGTCGGAGTCAGCCCTTGCCCCCAGAACCCCAGCCCAGGGTCCCCGCGGAATCCCTGCCTGGGTCCTCCTCCTCCTCGGGTGTCCCCGTCAAAGAGCCCAAGGTCATCCAGCGTCCCCCTTTGTCCCCCCAGGAGTCTGGCAGGAGCTCCCCGTGCCGGTCAGCACCCCCGCGGGGACCTTCCCTATTCAGGGGCCCCTGTGCACCTTCCGGCTTGTCCAAACCCTGGAAGGGTCTCCCTTCCAACACCCCTTTTTCTAGGACGTTCTAAAAGCCACCCAGATGCGTGTGCTCCATACCCGCAGAGCCCGTCTGGCGCTGGGACAAGTGGGGGGTGGGGAGCGCTTGGTGAGGAAAGGGGGCTCAGCAGGCGGGTGGGGGACACCCAGGTCCTGGTGACCTCCATGACCCTTGGCCCCAGCGCACCCAGCGCAGCCCCGACGGACACCGCTGTCCCGTGTGATTATGAAAAGGACTCTGGAAAGGGTCCTGGAGGGGGGACAAGAAGCCAGGTGGTCAAGCTGGTTATCACGGACAGGGCGTTGTCGGGGCACCGAGGAGGGGTCCCTAACTGCTCCAGGGACTCAGGGAGGCCTCCCAGGGGAGCTGTCCCCAGGGCGGGGGCCTCAGGTGAGGATGGTGCGCGAGTGGCCTGGGCCTGCGAGGACCATGGGAAGGTGCTGAGCTCCCATGGCCGTGACGAGGGTGGGGGACCTGGAGGTCTGCCCGTGGAAGGAAACGTGACAAAAAGAGGCAAGGAGTCGCAAGGTCCACTGTGTGCCCCGCTAGCCGGAGGGGCTGGGACTTAGTCCTGAGGGCACTAGGGAGCCATGGCAGGGCTGGGTGCAGGGAAGGAGTGGAAGCCAGCAGCTCCAGATACAGGCTGATAGGGCAAGAATGTGCGCAGCCCAGGGCGGTGGGGGAGCCCAGAGACAGCACCTTGTTCAGAAACATTGTCCCAGCGGAGGGGACATGTGGGCCAAGACGGGAAGGGCTGGTGAGGAGAGTGTCCCAGGCAGGGACCCAGAGGTGGGAACAGCCTTCGGGGACAGCGTGCAGTTCAGAGTCGCTGCAGCAGCAAGTGTGATTTGGAGTGGAGCGGCAGGTGAGGCCAGGCCGTGCAGGGCCTTCGATGCCAGGTCCAGCGTTTGGGCTGTGTCCCCAGGGTACTGGGGAGCCATGGAAGAACATGGAGTCCCGTGGGGATGGACTGGAGGGGGAGGCTGGTACAGGGGCCCAGGGGGAGGGGACGAGGCCTGACCCAGAGCTGTGGGGAAGGAGAGGAGGGGACAGGATAGAGTCATTGGGCAGGAGGCACAGAGCTGGGGACTTGACAAGCTGTGGGGAGGAGGGGAGGCGAGTGACCCCCAGCCATGGCCCCCCTTTGATCTCTCCGCCCACTCCCAGGCCCCCGTTTGCCCAGCCCACACCTCCAGTCCATAAAACAGGTCGTGGCAGGGGTGGGCAAACAGGTTCTGAGAGCCCCGCGGGGCCCGGGGCGCAGGCGGGTCCCCAGCCCTGGGTGGCTGGTCCGAGGAGGCCATTCCACTGTTGTCCTTCCAGGATCTCTTGGGGCCGCCGGGCCGGTGTCGGTCTCTCGCAGCGATGCAGGGAGGCTGCTAGGTCCGCCAGCAGCTGCGGAGCGGCGGGGGTGGCCCATGGACCTGCCGGAGCGCCGCGCGGGTGGCGCCGCCGCGCCAAAAAGTAGGTGGCCGGGCCCCTTTTTGCCCCAGGGGAGGATGAGGAGGAAGTAGTGGGTGAGTGGGGCACCAGGCTGTGACTCGGGGACATCAGAGAGGTGGCTTGGATGGCCGAGCTTCCACGTTGGTGCGGGGTGGGAGGGAGAGAGCTGTCGCTGCTGAAGGGCCTGCTGTGCCCTCCCGTCTGCACACCTTGCCTCGTTTGCTCCAGGGAGGCCAGGGCAGCAGCCTTTGCATGCACAGTGCCCCTGCCGGGCACCTGCCCCGTGACTTGCAGCTCCGCCTCGCTTCCTTCCCATCTCTGCTTTCTAGAAAGCAGCTGCCCCGTCACACTCTCCCCTTTCCTGCCTCACTTCTCTTTGTAGCACTGATATCTGTTTGTCTGCCTTTCTGGTCTCTGTCCCCCCACTGGAGCGTGAGGTCCACGAGGCAGGGCCCTCTTGCTCACTTTGGCGTTCCCCGTCCCTAGAGCAGCGTGTCCAACAGGCCAGCCACATGTGTCATTTTACATTTTGTTAGTAGCCACATTTAAAAGAAAAAAGAAACAGGCCACATGAATGACAGTAATAGATTTATTTGACTTCATGTTTCAGAAAATGTAATGGGGAGATTCTTTTTTTCACACTAAGCCTTCAAGAGCTGGTGTGTCCTTTACTCGGACAGAGCATCTCAGGTCACACTCGCCACAGTTCATGTGCTCGAGGACCACCCGTGGCGAGGGGCTGCCCTGTTGGTTCCGCTGCCCCAGGCCAGTGCCTGACATGGAATAGGAGCTCACTCACTGTCTTGAATGAGTGGAGGGACGTGGGCCAAATGGGCCTGAAAGCGGCTTTGGGAGGCAGGCGATGGGCCGCCCTCTCTGAAACTCGTCTCAGTGGGAGGGCCCAGGGTGACGGGAGGAGGCTCCCCCCAGGGCAGAGGCAGGGCGCCTGTCTTGAGGCTCCCAGCGTCCAGCAGCAGAGCCTGCATCTTTTCTCAAGGCCTCAGGAAGCTTTCCAGAGGGGAAGGTAGCAGGCAGACACCTGGCTGAGGGACCCCGAGGGCAGGCTGGTCGAGTGACCGACCGCCAAACTTCGCCGGCGCCAGCAGAGGGCGTGCGGCCACCGAGGAAGCCTGGGCAAGGGCTGAGCGGCTTTGGGAGACTCCTGCAGGAAAGGGAGGGACACACCCAGGAGAGATGGAGACAGGAACGCAGGTGGGGAATGAGACAGGCAGCGGAGGAAGGAGAGCGAAAGCTCGGGAAACGGAGGGTTTCTGAGGTACAGGAAGAGAAGCCCAGAGACGGAAACTCAGGGAAGAAAACAGGGCGAAGGACATGCAGACCGAGAGGCAGGACTCAGGGGAGAGAGATGGGGAGGAAGATGGAGAGAAAGAGCCCGAGAGAAAGCTAGAGAAGGGCAGGAACAGAGACACACAGGGAAATAGAGACACTGAGGAAGGAAGTGAAGGAAAGAGAACAGGAGGGAAGCAGAGTGGCATCTTCCTGAGGGCCCCGGGAAGGGACCGTAGACTCATGCAGATCCTCAGAGCCCCAGACATCTGGAGCCAGACAGTCCCGGGTTGCCTCTGCCTGGCTCGCCCTGGCTGAGTGGGACCCTGGATGAGTGACCTCGCTGGGCCTCGGGGTCCTCCTCCGTTACATGGGGAGCACGGCGAGGAGGAAGCACGGGCCCTGCCGTCTCCCCTAATGTGGGTCCCGCTCCTTCCCTGGGGACGCAGCTCAAACCCGAGGGCCCTGAGGTCAGCTCACTACAAAGAACCCTTGAAGAGTTAGAGGGCTGAGAATGGGCACTCTGGGTGGAACACATGGCCTCGGGCAAGTTCCTGACTTCTCTGTGCCTAAGTATCCTCATCCATAAAGTGGGGTGAATAATACAGCCACGTGATCCATGCAAAACGCTTAGAAGAGGCCTGGCGCCTATTAAATGCCAAGTAAATGTTCCATTCTTTTTTTTTTTCCTCCCGAAAGCCCCGGTACATAGTTGTGAGTCCTAGTTGTAAGTCCTTCTAGTACTTCTATGTGGGACGCTGCCACAGCATGGCTTGATGAGTGGTGCTACGTCCGCACCCAGGATCTGAACTGGCGAGCCCTGGGCCCCCGAAGTGGAACGCATGAACCCAACCACTCAGCCACAGGGCCGGCCCCTGATGTTCCAGTCTGTTATTAAGCTCCTAACACATGCCAGGCTCTCTGGCCCGAGCCTTTCCAGATTTTCTCTCATTTCTTCTCTAGGAGGGAGGTAACACCATCCCCGTTTTCCAAAGGAAGAAACTAAGGCTCAGAGAGGCTGAGTCCCTTCCTGGGTTGCCCCCTGGGTCTCCCAGACTCTGCATGCTGTGCTTGGTCTGCTGCTATACCCAGCTGTCCAAGGGCAGGGTGGGGAGCCTTGAAGGTCCCTTCCAGCCCCAGGGAAGAGGCTGGGCTGGTCCAGTGGCTCCTGGAGTAGAGGATCTCCTCCTATAGCTTGCAGCATCTATTGAGTGCCTACTATATGCAGGCTCTGTGGATACAGCAGTGGACAAACAGACCCTGGGAGATTCACGTGTGTGTGTGTGTATGGGCTCTTCACGTACACAGACCTAACCCAGCCTTGGGGAGGGTGATCACTCTCCCCACCCATTTTACTGGTGGGGAAGCTGAGGCTCCAAAAGGAGAAGCAGCTTGCCCACAACCGTGCAGCTGGGCTGTGAGCCCGTGTCAGCCTGACTCTATGAAACTCCAGCTCCTAACCACTCCCCCGCCGCCCACCCTGCCAGAATCGCCATCCCCTGGCTGTGGGCTCAGATGATGCCAGCCTCCCCTGGAGGATTTGGGGATTCGGAGAGGAGAGAGATCTGCCGGGCAGGGTGGGAGACCGGAGATGCGGCTGGCAGGATCGATCCAGGCTGCCCTCGAGTTATTGGATTGTTCCTGGCTCCTGGGCCCCCCTTCACCCTCCACTGCTCCCAGAATCCTCTCTTCCTTGCCCTCCCCTGCCTCCAGCCCCCTCCCAGCAGAGCCTTCGAGGCAGGGAAGGAGAGGAGGGAGGAGCAATCTCGGAGCATCCCTTCGTTCCGTTATCTGGGCTCCTGAGCAGATTGGACACAAAAAATTAAACAGCAGGGGGCACTTCCTGGCCTGAAAGATGGGGCCCACATCCCCCTGTGTGTGGGGGTGGGGTGACTCAAAGACTCTCACATTGCTGCCCCAACCCTGAGCTTCCTGCTGTTCCCCACCAGCCCACTCCAGGCAGCCTGGAATGAATGCCCTCCCCTCTGCGGAGCCCAGGACCTGGCTCACTCCTCCTCTCTCCTCATCCCCTCCTCACCGTGGGCTGGCCCTCTGTCTCCTCAGTGTACCTCTGGGACCGGCCCGAGGAGGGGAGCCTGGGGGCGCTGCTCAGCTTAGAGGAGCAAGTACTCAACTCCACGTTTGAAGCCTGTGACCCCCAGAGGACAGGTGGGAGGGGCGAGGCGGGGTGGAGAGCACGGGCCTGGGAGAGATGGGGAATAATTTGAGACAGAGACTGGCGTGGGAACTGGGGAGCCACAGAGAGAGGGATGGGCTCAGGCCCCGTCTTGAGGGTCCTGCAGGACAAAGTGGGTGACTGTGGGAAGCTTCAGGAGGAAAGTGGATAAGCGGATAGAGGCCCTTCAGGACAAGGACAGTTGGGGGAAGGAAAACTTGGGGGACATTAACGGGAGAGGGTGGGATTTTGGGGCCTGGGAGAGAGAGAGAGGGCCGCCACTGTGGTCCTCTTTGGTCCGCCCTGTGAGTGGGGAAGGCTGGGCCCCATTTCCAAGTGAAAAAGTTGACTCAAAGGAGGGGAAAGGAGTTGTCCAAGGGGTCTTGGCCAGACTGGTACAGGGGTGCCACCAGCCCAGCCAGTGATGTCCTGCTTCTAAGCCATCACCTGTCCCCACCCCCCACCTGACCCAGACTCCCTCACGGCATGCCCTCTCCCCAGGCACTGTGGCTGTGACCCACGTACTAGCCTACCTGGAGGCTGTGACAGGACGGGGCTCCCAGGATGCACGCCTCCAAACACTGGCCTGCAGCCTGGACCCCAACGGAGAGGGCCCTCAGGCCACCGTGGATTTGGACACCTTCCTGGTCGTCATGCGGGACTGGATCGCTGCCTGTCAGCTGGATGAGTGGGTCCTTGTACCTCCACCCTCCCCTGGGAAGTCCTTCCTAAGATCTAACCTCATACCTGCTTGCTGCAGACAGCACCCTTTAGGCACAGGGACCTCGTGTGGTTGGAAGGAGACTGAGGAGGAGAGAAAAGTAAAGAGATGGGGGGCGTGTCTGAGGACAAATTGCCTGCAATGAGGAGGCAGAGGGGGTCTAGGAGGCAGAAATAAAAGGGGCTGGACGGAGGAGAAGGGGAAGTTTTGGGGCCGGACAGAGGCCCTCCCCGTCCATTCTCCAAACCCAGTCCTTGCCCCTCCTGCTTCGCTGCCATCTGCCCCCGGCACTTGCCATCTGGCCTCACCTTCCTCCCCACGGTGCTCACTCTCACCTGACCCGACCCCTCCTCCCGCCACCAGCCATCCTCCTGCTGCTGGTGGCAGGTCAGGATTGTGGGGTGGCTGCAGGGGGCTCTAAGCCTCATCCCTTTGATACAGGGGATTAGAGCTGGAAGAGGAGACGGCCTTGGAGGGGGCCCTGACCTCCCGGCAGCTGCCATCTGGTGAGACTGCTATATATAGAGTGAAGCAGGCGGGCCCAGGGGCAGAGGGGGACTTCCCACCCGGGGACAGAGCAGGGGACAGGGTGGGGCCCGGAGACCTTTGCTGGAAGCTGGAGCTGAGTTTGGCTTTCTAGGCTCCTCCGTGACTGCTTCCCCACCTTCCCTGGGCTTTGGGGAGGTTTTCCCCTGACTGGTTGTTTCCCTCTCCTCCCAACCCCAGCCCTATTTCAGAGGTGACAGGGCCCCTCCTGCCTGTCATCGTCATCCCGGCCATGGGGCCAGCCCCTCCCTCCTCTCTAGTCCTGCAGTCACAGTCCCTCTGGCCTTGCTCTTCCTCCAACGTGTCGCACACCTGCCCACCACCCGCCTGGGCCCTGGCGCTGCCTGTTTTCCGGGCTGAAACTTTCCAGCCTCCCCTCAGCCCTCCCACCTCGGGGATGGCCCAGGCCCGGGTCTCTTACCCTCCAGCCAGCTCCTGCACAGCCCTTCCTTCCCTCTGTGGAAATCTGCCATCTCACTAGTTACCTGCCCTGCTGTTGGTCGGCTGCTTTGCTCTCTGTGATGTCCCAGGACCTCACACACAGGAGGGGCTCCCTAAAAATGTGCTTGTGTTACACCTCTCTAGCCTTACAAAAACAAAACAAAAGCCAAAAAATACAGCTTTCTTGACATTTTCTTGACCCTCCTCCAACCAGCCTTGGGGGCCAGGGGAGGGCTGTGAGCAGGGGAGGGGCAAGCCAGCTCCAGATGAGCAAAGACCCCTTTGGGGCTGAGTTGGGGAAGGATGGGAGGGAGAGGCTGGTGGAGGGGCAGGGGACCATAGTGAGGGTCCAGTGGGGGAGGGCGAGGCCTGAGCCAGGACGGGGCGAGAGGACAGAGAGGCAGGCGGAGCAGAGAGAGTCAGAGAAGGGGGGACAGGGCCTGGGCTCTGGTAGACGGGGTGAGGAGGGGCGAGGGAGCCGGGACAGCCCAGGGGCTGGGGTTGGGGGGCACTGGGAGGAGGGACAGGTTTGAGGGCAGTTGAGGTGCTGCCCGGTGTTGGGCATGATGAACACGAGCAGCTGGGGGCTCTGGGGAGATCTAGTCTGAGCTCAAGGTACAGGTGAGCAAGAGGACTTTCTGCTGGTGGTGTAATTGCAGCCGCAGGAGCAGATGAGGTCCCCAGAGCAAGTGTGAGGGTGGAGGCCAGAGTCATGGGGCACCCTGACATCTAAGGTCACCAGAGAGCCCACACTCTCTCTCTCTCTCCCTCCAGGATGCCCAGAAGCTGAGGAGCCAGCCAACCTGGAGAGCTTCGGTGGCGAAGACCCCAGACCTGAGCTGTACCTATCCTCAGCCCCCCCTCCCCCGCCCCATGCCCTCCAGCCTGCCCAGGGCCTGCTGTGGGGCTTGGGGTCCTTTGGGAGTGGGTGAGGGACAGGGGCTGTGCTGACAGCTCAGAGAGAGCAGGGCAGTCTCTCTCCTGTTCCTCTTTCTCCAGAAGAGCCATATCTCCCCCTACTACCACCACCACCACCACCTGGGAGAGGTAGATGGTGCTGTGGGCGGTGACCTCGCCCTTCACTGCCCCCAGGCCCGCCACGGCTGACCTGCTGAGCAGCCTGGAGGACCTGGAGCTCAGCAACCGCCGGCTGGCCGGGGAGAACGCCAAACTGCAGCGCAGCGTGGAGACGGCTGAGGAGGGGTCCGCGCGCCTCGGGGAGGAGATCGTGGCCCTGCGCAAGCAGCTTCGCAGGTGGGCCGGCGCCACGTCCACCCTCCTGGTGGCCTGTGTCCCTCCTGCCCCTAGCCCCAGGCTCGCTCTGCGCTCTCTCTCTGCGCCGCCTGCTCCGTGTCTTTGACCCTGCATGTGTCCCCTTCTTCTTTTCCCCTGTCTGGCTGTTCTCTCTCTCTCTGGCGTCCCCTGGTTCTGGTCTCTCAGCCTCTAGGGTTCAGACTTCTCTCTCCGCTCTTGTTCTTCTCTCTCTGGTTCTCCACGTCAGCGGCCTGCTCCTTTCCCCGTGCTCTGTCTTTCTCATGTCTGTCATGTTCCTCCTGTTTTAGTCTCCCACTCTGTCTGGGTCTCTGTCCCACCCCCTTAGGCTTTTAGGTAGAAGCTGGGTCTCCGCCCCCCACACGCGGTTCTTTTCCCCGTTTTCTCTGTGGGTCTCCATCCCCGTCTCTGGTGATTTCTCTGTTGTTTCTGTCTCTCTGAGGGGACCTATCTCTGTGATCTCTGCCTTCCTCTCTCTCGTGTGGCCCACCTGCCCCACACCCCACTCAGTACCCAGCAGGCTCTGCAGTTTGCCAAGGCCGTGGATGAGGAGCTGGAGGACCTGAAGACTCTGGCCAAGAGCCTGGAGGAACAGAATCGCAGCCTCCTGGCCCAGGCCCGGCAGACGGTGGGTCCTGGACAAGGGGCACAAAGGCGCCTCTTTCTTCCCCCTGTCTTGGAGTCTGAGCATCAGAGCCTGACTGTGGAGTGGGAAGGGGCAGCGGGCACCCCGGCCTTCTCCCTCACTCCAAGTCTTGCTCACCCCAGACTTGGGGGCCAGATCTAATTGCCATCCCTCTGGTGGTGACAACAGGGACAGCAGGAGCCATCAGGGCTCCCCAGGCCATTTCCCCAACCCTGCTCCTCAATGACCCAGGCCCAAGTTGCATTCCCAGGGGTGAGAGAAGGGCAATATGGGGGCAAGGAGACAGGAAAAAAAGCCTTTGTCATCTCTCTGGGGTCACTCAGGAAAAGGAGCAGCAGCACCTGGTGGCCGAGGTGGAGACTCTGCAGGAGGAGGTGAGCTGAGGCCCAGCGCCCCCCTCCACCCTTTCCCCAGTGCTCGGGATCTTCCTACCCTCCCCACTGCTGCCCTAAACACCGCCAGCAGCCTGCCGCCGGCACCCTTCACTGTGCTGAGGGAGACCCCCGAATCCCAGTAATGTGTGAATGTCCCTGAAGGTCACATCGCTGCACGTGAGGACTGCCAGAGTTGGTCAGAGTGTGGGGCGTGGGGCGGACTGCCTGGGTTCATGCTGAGGCTGCCTGTATAAGCATCGGCCGGTCTGTCCCCTCTCTGTGCCTCAGTGTCTCCACCTGCAAAATGGGCAGAATAATAGAATCTTCCTCGTTGGGTTGTGTGAAATTTAAACAAGAAGATGCTTGTAAAGGCACCAGGCAGGCTGCGTGGGAAGTGCTTACTAAAAATTAGCTAGTGTTCTTCATATATTGGTATTTCTTCCTGGGGGAAAGAACGCAGGCCTTGAAGTCAGCCCTGAGTTCAAATCCTGTCTCTGCCACTTAGGCGACAGACAACCTCTAGTCGTGTGACTTCTCCCTGTGGAGTCTTAGTTTTATTCACCAAGAACGGGGGAGAAGGGTGTCTGTTCAACAGGGTTGTTGTGAGAATTAAATGACAGCTTTTAGCCCAGGGCCCAGCACATAGTATGAACAGGCCCAGTTCAACCTCATGTCTGATTCAGGCCCCATTCCAAGACAGAAGACGTCATCTTACGTAATTCGGGGTCCCCTTAGTGCTTTTAGGTGGAAAGTCACCGCCCTCACAAGGTGGCATCTAAGTTGCTGGAGACCACGCACCCTGCAGTGCTCCAGGAGGCGGCAGTCCTCACTCAACGTCTGTTTTCTCTGCTGGTCACGAGATTGATGTTCGTTGTCCCATCTGGTCCTCAGCCTTAGTCACCGCTTCATGCTGGCATCCACTGGGAGGCTGGCATTGCCTTCTGGTCTCTGGACATACAGTCCTTGCTGCATCTGCTGATGGTGGCCTTCATCCGAACCCCACACGGGAGCCGCTGGGACTCGCTCAGCCACTTTCACACGCTTCTGGGGGCACAGAGGATGTTTAGCTGCTTTCCTGTGAGTCTTTGTGGCCACAGGGACCTCACTGAGCCCTCTCTGCTTCGGCTCCTCACAAGCCATCTCTGTTCTATTATTCGCACAACTTGTTAGATGAGACTGAGCTGGGAAACACCTCTCAGGTTCCCAGACGTCTTGGGGGTTCCGTGGTTCAGCAGCCTCCATCCTCTGCACCCCTCGCAGCTCTGTTGCTCTCTTCTTTGACTCTCCTACGCCCCTCATCAGTCCAGGCAGTGGTGCTAATGCTACCTGCGCCCCCCAAATCTCTTTGTCCTGCATCTGTGCTATGGCTTTGACATTTAAATCCCCACATTTTCCACTGTTGTTCTCTGGCTCTTCCGTGAAAATCCCCTTCCTTGGGGCAGTAGGAATCTCGCCGCAGGATGGCTGCCACAGTGTGAGGCATGGAGTGCAGACAGGATGTGACTGTGTCTTCTAGAACATCTCTTTTTGAGAACAAGGAAAAGCTTTTCCAGGAGCACCCCCACTCCACCTCCTACCCCGGCGGACCTGTCTTTACTTCTCACTGGCCGGAACTGGGTCACAGGACACCCCCTGCTGCAAGGGAGGCTGGGAGAATATCTGACGTTCCTCAGCTCTGGAGTGGGAGACGAACAAGTGAGATGGTGTGAGGATGGCTCCTGGCTTAGCTAACCAGTGGGGTCTCCTTTATCTGCCGGGGTTTTCATCTTGCTTAACCCCAGGGCTGAGCCTGGGCCAGGCCTGCCCCGGGGGAGCATGGACCCCCCAACAAACAGAAGAAGGAATAAACAGGGGGATTGGCAGCCAGCAGTCTCGTCCTCCTCCCGGCCCAGGCCTGCTGCCAGGTCAAGTGCCTTGAGCAGCGCCTGGGACATCCTAGGCGCTCGATAAGCTGGAGCTATTCTTGGTTGCCTCCCCTGCACCTTTCCCCTCCTGCAGCTGCCTTTAGAGCATCTATAGATCGAGTTCTCAAGTTACAGTAGAATAATGCTGGAGTAAGGAGCACTCAGACACTCAGCTTTCCTACAGAGAACCTGCGCAGCGAGCGGGCTCGGGTTACTGCAGAAGAAGGCAGGAGCGGCTGAGTAACCAGGTTCCCTGCCGGGTGGCCCAGGATCCAGCCTGCAAATCCCGACCAGGTGGACAGATGTTGACACAGCATTCCTGGCTCGTCCTTCCTCCGCCCTTCACCTGGCAGCCCAGGCCCCGCTGAGACCGAGAGAGAGGGAGGGCAGCTGGTGGAGGACTTGGAGCTGAGCAGGGCTGGAGAGGGAGGAGCTGGTCTCTGTATCCCCACGACGCCAGGAGGAGGGGTGTGGCAGAGCGAAGTCAGACTGCCTCCATGCCCTGAAATGCTGGGCCCCCCTCACATCAAAACTCAGTGCAGCTTACTAGGTTTTGGTGTCTGGAAACTCTAGACTGGAATTTTGGCCGTTTTATTCTTGGGTCCCATTTCATGGCTGGTGTGGTCTGTCCTCTCCTGACGCCCTTGTTTTCCCAGATAACCCTCCTCACCCTTGGGGACTCAGCCCCCCGCACTGCCTCCTCAGGAAGCCCCTCATCTGAGCTCCCTCAGGGCCCAGGCCTAGGCCTCACCAGAGCCCGCCTCACACGTTGTTATCATCAATTTCTGTGTTGGGCTCCACCTCTAGTGATGAGCTACTTGAGGCAACGGACGAAGCTGGTTCCCCATTCTCACCCAGGGCTGCGTCCGGCTCAGAGGAGAGTCTGGGGCTTATAAGCACAGAATTTGGAATCAGATTTGGGTTTGAATCCACTCACCATGTGACCTTGGCCAAGTTTCTCAGCCCCTTCACTCCTCAATTTCCTCTGTTAAATTGGGGATGATGACAACAGAAACATTAATAGCTGGGACAGCCAGACATTACATTCTTCCTGAATGGCACCGTAGGATGTGTACAGCAGCACCCATGCAATCTTCCTGCCAAAAACTGAACAGAGTCCGGACAAGGCCCTGGATCCACCACCAGTTCACAGGAGATGAGGAGGGAGGAACGTAGTGAACATCCTGCATGGGGAATGAAAACGCAGTCTACCACATCCAGACGTGCCAGTTCTGCAGGACAAATAACCTGATTCCTTCCACAAATGAAGGGCCCAGAAAAGTGCCAGGATGGGAGGGGGAGCACTGTGATGAAAAAAAATGAGGCATTTCAACCAGAAGCCATGGTGGACCTTGTTTGGGTCTTCATTCATGAACAAACTAAATGTGGAAAGACGCTCATGAGAGAACCAAAACGATAAAAGAGCACAACTTTGGTGTGAGGTGATACTAAGAAATTGTGACTAATTTTGTGAAGAGTGGTAGTGATATTGTGGTTTTGCTAAAGGAAAAACTCCACAGGTAGGAGATTAAGATGGTGGAGTAGTTACAGATGAAATAATGTGATTCCTTTAAAATGATCTGGTTAAGGGGGCTGGCCCGGTGGCATAGTGGTTAAGTTCACGCACTCAACTTTGGCTGCATGGGGTTCGCAGCTTCGGATCCCAGGCCTGGACCTAGCACCACTCGTCAAGCCATGCTGTGGCGGCATCCCACATAAAACAGAGGAAGATGGGCACAGATGTTAGCTCAGGGCCAATCTTCCTCACAAAAAACAAATAATAATGATCTGGTTAAACAAAACAAAAGACCTGGAGGATAAAGAGGAAACAAACTGAGAAACTGTATAATGACTGAAGCTGGGTGATGAGTAATGGGAGTTCATTATACTGTTTTTACTTTTGTTTGTGTTAAAGAATTCATAATACCAAGTTTTAAAAATACTTTTTTAATATCACATTTACTGAACTTTGATATAAGCCAGGCACTGTCCTGAAAGCTTTGTGCTCCTTAATGTACATTAACATGTATTTGCATGAATTGCCACCTGTGTGACCTGGGGCTAGTTGCTCAACCTTTCAGTGCCTGAGTTGTCTTTATCTTTTAAGTAGGGGCTAAGAAATGAGTTAAGACAAGCAAAGGACTCGGTAAATGTTAGCAATTATATTAGCTCACTTAATCTGCACAGCAACCCTGTGAGGTAGGTCTCCTCTTCTCTCCATTTTTACGTACGGGGCCGGGCTGATGCACAGAGAAATCCAAGCTGAGGTCCCGTAGGATGGTTGGAGGGATAAAATGGGCTAAAACACATAAGGGCCCTGCGTGAGGCCTGATGCACATCAAGTGTTGGACAAATGTCAGCTCTGAGTAGTAACATGGCCATTTGCTGCAGAGGACATACCCAGACCTTCCTTCTTCCAGAACGGGAAGCTACTGGCCCAGCGGGATGAGGTGAAAAGGAGGAGCGAGGAGCTGGCCACAGAGAAGGATGCATTGAAGGTGCCACCCCTCCCTCGAGCTTTGACAACTTCCCCCCACCCCGGGCCCATTTTTACCATCTCCAGTTTCAGCCCCTGGGGCCCGGTGAGAGCAGGGGACTTCCCTCAAGCCGTCAGGCTCCCAGGGCGCCAACAGCTCAGCTCAGATCCCTCCAGCTGTGGCTGATGTCCAGAGGCTTTGAGGGCGCTTGAGGAGAGGCGCTGGGGAGTACAGGGCGGGCCTGGGAGGGCAGGCCGGCTGAGGCAAGTCCTGGGAGGACGGACAGATAGACAGGCTCCTTCCTTGGCAGCGACAGCTCTATGAATGTGAACGCCTCATCTGCCAAAGAGACGCCATCCTCTCCGAGGTGAGGGGGCTGCGGGGAGACGTTTGCTTCCGTGCGCACCTGCCCGTCTCCTGCCCCAGCCTGGAAAGGGAAGTCCCGTGCGTGCAGCTCTAATCCCTGGATAAGCTGGAAACTGGCTGTGGGCTTCCAGATCCTGCAGGGTCACACTCGTGACCCCAGGGAAGCCCTCTGACCTCTCCCTCAGGTCCTAGCTCTTCCCCCAAGCTAACCCTGCCAGTCCCGTCCTCCCCCCACCGCAGTGTCTTTCGGGGGCTGGGCCCAGTCTCATTCAGCTTTGGGCTTTCCCAGCGCACTCGCCACGCGGAGAGTCTGGCCAAGACCGTGGAAGAGTACAGAACCACAACCCAGGTAACCAGGCCACCCACCCACCCACCTGCAGTGGCCCTCCGCCTGGCCCCACTCTCGCCACTTCTCTTTTGCCGTCTCCAGGATTTACTGCTCTTTCTGTCTCTGTCGATATTTTTCCGAGTCTCCTCTTCTTGTTTCTTCTGTCTCTACTGTGTGACTCCGTCTCTCCCTCTCTGTTGCCATCTCTCTCTTCCTTTTCACTTTCCCTCAATTCCTTCCTTTCTCTCTCTCACTCTGTGTATCTCCATCTTCCGTCTAGTTTCATTCTCTGTGGTGTCTTTTTTTAAAAGATTTTATTTTTCCTTTTGCTCCCCAAAGCCCCCCAGTACATAGTTGTATATTTTTTTTAGTTGTGGGTCCTTCTAGTTGTGGCATGTGGGATGCCACCTCAGCATGGCTTGATGAGCAGTACCATGTCTGCGCCCAGGATCCGAACCGGAGACACTGGGCTGCCAAAGCAGAGCGCAAACTTAACCACTCGGCCATGGGGCCAGCCCCTGTCCCTGGTCTTTATGAGTCTCTTACACCCTGTATGTCTCTTGCCTCTCTGTGAATCTCTTTCCCTCAGTGTTTCTTGTTCCATGTGTCTCCCTCTCTGCCTTCCTTTTCGTAATTTTCCTGGCTAGTAGATTATCTTCTGGTTCCTGTTGCTCTGTGTCTCCTTTTGGCTTCTTAAGTTTCTATTACTCTTTCTTCCCCTTGTCCCTTGGCAGTGTGTGTCCAGAGGAGCCTAAAGAATTCAGGGGAGTGGAATTGACCTTGGAAGAGGTTGGAGATGGGGAAGAACAGAGAGCTAGGGGTCCCCTACTCCTCCTTTGCAGGAACTGAGGCTAGAAATATCACACTTGGAGGAGCAGCTGAGTGAGACCCATGAGGGGCTGGATGAGTGAGTTGGAACGTCCGGGAGTGGAGGAGGCAGGAGGGGAGCCCAAGGGCAGGGACCCCCAGCCTCTAGCTCTAAGGTGGGTGGGGCAGCCACTCCAGCGCAGGCTGACTAACAGGTGCCAGACGAGCACAGAGGCAGCCTTCTCCCTCCTGACTGTGTGGCCAGGGTACCTGAAGGGGCTCAGGTGAGAAGAGTGGACTGGACCAGGCTGCTGCCCCTGTCACTGGGTGTGGAGATTGAAGCCATTCAGCAGGTGGGCCTGGCACCCTCAGAACACCCTAACCCACCACCAGCTGCCAGTCTAGCCCAGCACTGATTCTCACCCTACTCCATTCTCCCCGAGGACCATCTCAATCCTTAACCTCATCCCAAACCCAGTCCTTTGTCCTGGCACCAAACCTTCTGGGTCCTGCCTCCACCCCCTCCCAGCCCTGCCTCACACCAGCTCCCTCCACCTCCCATCCCCACACCTCAGCCCACCTCCATCCCCATTCCTGACCTGTCTCCTGCCTTCCTCTGGCCCTCCCTGATCTCAGAAACAACTTCTCCTCTCCCAGAAACAAGAAGTGGCAGCCACCGAGCTCTCCAGCCCTCTGTGTGGAGTGTGGCAGTGGAAGGAGGTCATCAGTGAGACCAATGAGGAAGCTGAGTTTCCACTTGAAGCCCCAACAAGGAGACAGGTGAGCACAGGAGAGGCTCTGAGACCACTGGAACCCAGGAGCTTGGAAAGGGGCCTGGGACCCATGTGCCTTCGCTGGTCCCCTCTCAATAGGCAGAGTTAACTCAGGGCCCGCTGGGTATGGACACAGAGCCCAAGCCAGACAGGACACCATCCCTGCCCTCTGGGAACTGGCCTGCTAGTGTGGTAGACAACAGGAAACAAGGCAAACACAAATTGCATTGTGGTTGTTACTGTTGCTCAGAAAACTCTGTCAGGAGTCACCTTCTTTAAAATAAGAGGGAAAGCATAAGTTCATTGTTCTTCCTAACCCATAAAGATAAATTAAGCATTTACTTTTTGAACACAAGGCACGTCCAAGAAAAGTTTAGCAAGCCCACTATGAAATCTGGAACCCAACAATAGCCTTTGTTTTATGACTTCTGTAATTACCTGAACAGTATTTCAGCATTGTTTGAAACAACTGACACAACTCATCTTCCATGTCCACAACCGAAAAGTGAGGTTTTATCTATTGGTGCTAGAAGAATAGTTTTTTTCAAAAAGAAAATATTGCTCACAGGTCTGTAACCAACACTATATTGTCTTGAAAGCTATACTATGTCAAAGCTGCTGGCCGTACTTTAAGGGGAAACTGGTTTCTGTGGTCACTTTTTCTGTGTTTTTCTTTGCCACGAGCGCTCTTGTTCGGTTTCTCCTTGACCTCTCCCAGTGTCTCTGCGAGGTAGGTGTCCTCAGCCCTCATCCTGTCACTCCTGGGAAACTGAGGCTCAGAGAGAGATTACATGTTCACACACAGCCTCCCTCAGAGAAAGTGTAAATTAGAGTGAGCTGCTGCCTCGAGCTCTCACACCCCTGCTGAGGGGAGGACTGAGCCAGGCCTCCGGGTACCACCTGCCTTTCATCCTGGGGATACAGAGAAGAGTCACTCGGGGCTCGGGCCCCTTAGCACTCCAGGCCTCACAGGAGAGATCATGCGAAGGGGTCATTCCCATGTAGGATGATCCGTGTGCTAGAGGTAGGGGGCGGGCCCTGTGGGAGCCCAGAGAAGGGGTACCTGTGTCAGGTGGGAGACTGGGGGACATATCACAGGGAACTGATGCCTGAGTTTATGTGAAGAAGGAAAAAGACGTTAAGTAGTGTGAGGGAAGAGAGGCCTTTCAGGCAAGGGTAAGAGTCTGTACAAGGACGTAGGGGCATGAAGCTACATAATACACTGGCGAGTAGAGGGCGGTTGTGGGTCACTAGTGAGAGATGAGGCTGGAGCCAGATCCCGAAAGGAATGCCCTCTTAATCAAGCTGGGAGATTGTACTTTTCTCCATCAAGCCACCGAGGGCTGTGAGCGGGGAGGGGCAGGGGCAGGGGCGGCTCTGGATGTAGAAGGATCCCTCTGGGGCCACTTGGGGACTGACTGGAGGCAAGGAGGCCAGGGAGGAAGCTGGGGTGATGGTCCAGAGGGAAGGGATGAGGCCTGAGCCAGGCCAGGGCCTCAGGATGGAGAAAAAGCGACGGGCAGAGAGAATTGAGGTGGGGGAGACGGAGCTGCAGACAGGCGGGCCAGGGGTTGGGGGTGCTGGGAAGGGAGGAGAAGAGGGGAAGAGGCTGAACTTAGCTTGTGACCCCATGAGTAAGCGCCCTGAGGGACAAGGGGCCTGCTGCCCAGAGGCGGTGGACATGTGAGGCGGGAGCTCAGTGATGTATTTAGAAAACAGTGTCGAGCGGTGGTTGAGGCCACAGACGAGGATAAGATGTCTCTGGAGAAAATGGAGAGGGACCTGGAAGAGCAGCTGTGGGCCCGCCCCAAGACTGGGAAACTGGGAGGGGGAGGAGGTTTGGGAGGGAATTGCTGAGCCCTGTTTGGACCCAGGTGAGTGTGAGAGACTTATGGGAGGGAAAGAGGTTTGGGGGACCTGGACTCCTGGGTCCCAACGGAGAAAAGGGCTTGGTGGATGCAGAACAGCTGTCCGGTTGGTTTCTGGCTTCTGATCCAGGGGCATGAATGAGCATCCTGAGGAGGGGGCCCAAGAGGAAGGCAGGTTTTAGAAGCAGGTGGCGAATTCCTCCTGTTGCAGCCTGAGAGACCCCACTTTTTCTTTCCCATAGAGAAGCTTCCAGGAGGAGCCAGCGCACCCTCAAAGAAGGAAGGAGCGATCGATGTGGTAAGAAGCATGCTCCTCCTCGAGCCATTCCTCTGCCTCGGGCTGACGCCTGATGCTCAGACAGACTGGAAGGAGTGGAAGGGCCCTGAGGGAGTCACACATCATTTGTTCTTTCATTCACTGATTCACTCATGCTGAGGTGACCCTGGGCCTGTGGACCGGGAGGAGTCAGACCCAGCCCCGACCCATATGGTTCTGGGAGAACAGGCACCTGACCCCTCCTTGGGGAGAGGGCTTCCCGGGAATTCCTGAATGGGGTCCTGTAGGAGGAGTATTCGTATAGGAGACCCTTATACAAGAAGACAGTTGTCAGGCAGATGGGACAGCTCAGTCACTTGGTCACTCTCACTGAACACGTCTCCCAAGGCTTCCAGGAAACCCTGGCATCAAGGAGACCCTGACTAAGCCCCTGGAGAGCACCCAGGCAGTTGGAAGACCATCAGGGGCTCTGGAATCCCACAGCCTGGGTTCAAATCCCAGCTTGGGCACCTTCTGGTGGGCTTGGTGGGAGCATTTGGCAGTAATACCCTGGAGCCCAGCCCTTGATTGTTATGGGACTGTTCTGAGGCTCCTGTGCGGCCACTGAGGAGAGAGAAGGTGCTGGATGTCTGGGCCCACGCTCCTCCAGGGCTCTGGCCTTGAGGCCTCTGTTTCCTGCGGTGGCTCCCTTTCCCAGCTCCACTCTTTCAGGCTCCCTGCTGCAGCCACTAATGAGGCTGCTGCCACGGCCTCTAATTTGCCTTGTCTGGGAAAGCTGAGATTGGGCAGGACAGGGCTCTGGAGCTGTGACCTCCCCCTGCGTCACCAGAGAAAGGGCTGAGCAGCAGCAGGAGCGGGGGCTGGTGCTGGGAGCTGGACATCTGAGTGTCGGGGAGCAGGGGCAGTATGATCCACAGATTGGGAGGCTAGCAGGGAGGGAGGTAGTGAGTCCTGTGGCCCCTGGATGTGGCTAGGAGTGAGGGGTCAGACCTTGAGAGGGGCAGACAGCTGTGTGTCTGACTGGGCAGAGGCCTTGGGGGGTGGCAGTTGAGGAAACAGCTATAGCTTGAAGGTGTTGGGTCTGAAGCTGGCAGTGGCGGCTGGAGGGCTGGATCCCTGATTCCCAGTGAAGGTGGTATCCAGTGGTGTGGACATCTGGGTCTCCAAGGGATGTTGAGGCTGAGAAGCTTGAGGCCTGGGGCTCAGGGAGCCGTGACTTTAGGAGGGGCGGAGGCTGGGGCTTGCACATCTCAGAGGAGGGATTTGGAACAGGGTTGGGGCTCAAACAGTTGGATTCTGGAGGCCGAGAACTCTGAGCCGGAGCCCCGGTCTCCGAGAAGACCCAGGAAGACTGAGACTCGCTGAAAATGGCACAACCCACCGGGCAGAAGAGGGCGGATCTGTTCATGCCCTGGGGTCTCAGAGAGGTCTGAATCTGGTGTTTTGGGGTGTGGGAGAGCCAGAAGCCTCAGCTCTCAGCTGGGGGATGAGCAGCTGAGAAAGCCAATGAGGGGAGCAGGCCCCCAGACCCTTTTAGGGGGCACAGAGTCCTTTGAGAATTTGGTAAAAATTCCCCTGAAAAATATAGCCGCTGACGTGCACACAGAAGTTTGCTCCAGGGGTCCCAGGACCCCCATGGGTCCACCTGTGGTACCGGCCGCGTTAAGACCCCTGCTTTGAAGCTTCCACCTGCAGCAAGTGAAAGGGAGCCAGGCAGAGGAGAGGGATGCTGGCAGTGACTTTGTTGTCGCCCCAGGTTACCCAGAAGAGAAGAAGAGGAGGAAGTGGAGACCCAGGTCACGGTAGGCGGTCCCCAGCAGCCCTCCTGTCCCCGGTCCCCATCCACTTCAGGCCCCCAGAGGAGGCTGATGCAGTCCCAGCCCCTCCCTGGCTCCCACCCACACCCCCACTTCTCCCAAGTGGACAGAAAAATCATTTGGCCAAGAGATAACAAGGCCCTCGCTGTAGCTAATGAGAGCGGACGGTGCTGCGCTGGGGAGGCCTGCAGGCCAGTGGGCGGTCAGAATGTTCCCGGGGGACCCTCCCACGCACGCGCGCGCGCACACACAGGGCTGCAGCCGCCTTGCCACGGTCCTCACAGACGTGGCTACACCCCCGGATTGCGAAAATGCACACGCACATGCGCCCACACAGGGGAAGGGGCTGGGCCCTCCCCAGCCAGCCTCAGAGCTCCCTCAGGGCCTGTCACAGCTCCCCGGCCTGGACCACGCACACTGGCTCCTTTGCTCCTCAAAGTGGCGCCTGACAATCCCAATTCTTAGACAAAGAAAGGAAGGGAAGGAAATTTGGTGAGCTGAAGAGCCTGTGGTGCTCAGCTGAGGACTGTGAGAACGAAACATGTGGCAGGCTGTGCTCCAGGCACCTGGGACCCGTGAGGATCCAGCTGTCCAGGATGGTCTCTCTGAGCAGCCTGACTCCGGAGCCCACCTCCTTCCCACCACACCGTGCTCCCTTCCACGGAGACTGGGGCTCCGCCTCAGTTTCCTCACCTCTGGCTTGGCGATGGTCTTTATCCAGCTCTCTGGGTGGGGACAACGGTTAAGGGCCTGGCACAGAGCAGGCGCGCAGTAGGTGGTGCTGGCGAAGGTAGTGAGGGGACTGGTGTCCTGGAATCTTTCTTTATTGTTGTCTTATTATCACCATCGTCATCCGTGGAGCAAAGATGTGGGTGGGAAAGCCAGAGACCAACAGACGAGGCGCACTGTCAGAGAGAGGTGGCACGTGAGGTGGCCCTGGAGGAGTATTTGGGGCTTGACTCTTTGGGGCTGGCGCAGGCAGGAAGACGGGCCCCAGGAGTGCTCACGCTGGGCTAGGCCAGCCCAGGGCTGGGTGCCGGGAGAAGACAGGGTCTCTGCCCTCAGGGAGCTCAGACACTTTCGGAATCAAATGACAATGGAAATAATAGTGTTGAATAGCTCACGCAGTGACTGAGAGCTCACTGTATGCTCTGCCCTGTTGCGAGGCCCCTCCTGCTTTTGTGTTTTCTACCTGCATTCACTCGGTCAGTCTCCACTTCAGCCGTGTGAGATGGGTACTGTCATCATCTGTGTCCAGCAGATGGGGAAAGGGGCATGGAGAGGTGGGGTGACACGCCAAGGGACACCCAGCCGGAAGCTGCCAGAGCTGGGAACCCAAGCAGGCATGTGTCTCAGGGAAGCTCACGCCCTGAACCCCTGTGTTCCACCCCCTTCCACGTGATTGCTTCTCTCCAGTGGGCTGAGCTGAGGGCCTCTCCGGACCCAGGACCCAGCGACTCAACTTCGTCTCCTTTGTCCTTCCAGGCTGATCTCCTCCCCATCCCTCTGGGAGACCGTCACCCTGGAGACATCCCAGGAAGCCCTCCTGAGAGGTAACGGGACCCACAGGGACTGGGAGGGGACCTGGGGACAGAGAAAAAGTCCAGTCCAATTGCCTTTCCCTCCTCTCTCTCCAGCAGCCCCGCCGAGCCAGAGCTGCAGCGGGCGCTGGTGCCTGTGGTCACAGAGCTGGTCCCAGTCTCGAGGCCGGTCTGTGGCCAGCTCTGCCTGGCCCCCCTGCACCCCCAGCAGCTCAGGTGCGCCCCAGGGTGTCTCCAAAAGGAGGGTGGTGGTCAGACATCTGGGCATTGCCCACTGCTGGGACACCACGGGCTCCCCTGGGCCCCCGCCATAAGCACTGTCCCACCTCCACCAGGGTCGCTCGGCATCCGCTGGTCCCGGTGCCCGTGCTGGGCCTGCTGCTGCTGCTGCTGCTCTCCGTCCTGCTGCTCGGCCAGTCCTCGCCCCCCACCTGGCCCCACCTCCAGCTCTACTACCTCCAGCCGCCCCCCATGTGAGGCCTGCTCCTGGTACCCTCAGAGCAATGTCTAGTTCAGTGAATTCCCCAGGGCTCTTTTTACTGTTATTCCCGTTGTTGTGCCGCTGTCATTGGGGACTACCCCAGGAGGGGGACCCAGATACAGTACTCCAGGATCCACAGCCCTGGTTTGGGTTTTTATGTGAAGTCTCTTGGTGTTTTAATGTTGGCAACTGCATTTCTTAACAAGAGTAAAACACGTCCAGTAATGGATTAAGCACTAGGGGTTTAGTTTTCTCACAAAACAAGTCCAGGAGGACAGCCGTGGGCCACAGCTCAGAGTCGCCACAGCCTCAGGGCCAGGGTGCTGTGATCCTCTGTGACTCTTGGCCCTTCCCTCGTGTTCAGGAGATAGCAGGCATTGTAGTCTCATATGTCACCTCTGCAGGGGGAAGGGGACCTCCCCTTCCTTTTTATAAAGAAAAGCCATAGCCTCCCCAGAGGCAGCAGCAGACCTGTGTTTATGTTTCGTTGGCCAGAACTGTTTGGCGTAACCACCGCCAGCTGCAAGGGAGGCTGGGAGACCGAGTGCCTCTCCTGGCAGAAAGAGGGAGGGAGCGATAGGGGCCAGGCACACAGCACGATGTCCGCTCCAGTGCAAACGGCCCACAGGGGAGGGACCAGTGTTTCATTTATTCACTCAACAAACACTGACTGGTCATCTCTTTGCCACAGCTAGACCTTAGAAGACGGAGCTGTAGAGAAGCAGGCCCTCCAATGCCGGGCTGAGAAGTGTTGCTTTTCTCCCGAGGATGAGGGGAGCTTTGGGAGGTTTTATTGCTTGGTTTTGGTTAAGCTTTAACTGAGGTGTAACTTACACACAGATAACTGGACAAGTCTTATGTATCAGCTGGATGAATTTTTAAATATGTAAACAGCTATGAAACCAAAACCTAGGTCAAGATAGAGAACGGTGTCAGCACCTCAGAGGCTTCCCAGGAGAGTGCTGAGCAAGAGAGGAGCAGAGTCACACCTCTTTAAAGACATAGTGACAGGGGTGGCTGCTGGCTCTCTGGGAGCCCAGAAAAGGCACCTAATGCAGCCCGGGAGGTTAGAGGTTTTTTCCCAGACAAGTAGCCTCTGCATTTAGTCTTGAAAGATGGGCAAGCTTGGTTCCAGTACGCCGTGGCCCCAGGAGGGTGTCAGGGCCAGAGGAAACAGGGTGTATGAAGACCAGGTGATGGGAAAGAGCTTCCGAGTGTGGAGAGCCAAGGGCAGCACCCTGTTGCTGGGATTTTAAAAAGACTAGAAGCCAGGCAAGGATTTGAGGCTGCAGAGTGGTGAGAAATCAGATAGACAGGTGGCGGGAGCCCGTGAAGGGTTTTGAACAGCAGCTTCAACTTTACTCCCAAGTGCCTAAGAAAGGGCTGTGAGCAGGGAAGGGGCAGAATCCACTCTGGGTGGGAGAGAGACCTGACCTGTTTCGGGGATGGATATCGGAGTGCGGCTGGAGGCAGGCGGTGGGGAGAAGGCTGGGGCCGTGGGCCAGGTGGGCCAGGTATGTGCATGGAAAGAAGGGAAGGGCGGAGAGAGGCAGAGCAGGAAGGACAGAGTGGGGGTGCTGACAGGCTGTGACAGACGATGAAGAGGGAAGGACAAGGACTTGCGTCTGACCCAGTGACTGGTAGACAGCAGAGCATTTCCCAAGATGGGGAACCCATGAGAAGGCGTGGGTTTGTGGGAACACTGAGCTCCTGTGGGATAGATGAGTGTCCGGGTTCCAAGAGGTGTCTGGAGCCCTGAGCCTTGAGCTCTCAGGCTGGCTGGGGTGTGGGGGTTAGTAGCTGTGAGTGGTGAGCAAAGCTGTGGAGGTTTTCTGGGGAGAGGGGAGGAGAGTGGGGAGGGAAGGGGTTCCGGGCACCACTTTGTGAAAAGCCTCAAACGCGAGGGAAGAGATCCAGGGAGGAAGGAGAGTATGGGAAGAGGCCAGGCCGAGACCCAGCTACCAGGCCCTCCAGCAGACAGGTCGAGGCTCCTGGCGGGCTGCTGGGGGATTGCAAGAGCCGGTGCAAGTGTCTAGAAGAGTGCCGGCGTCTAGGAACTAACTGCTCCTGACATTTGAATCCCACTTCTCCAGGACGGCGGTGGAAAGGTCTAGAGTTTGGAAGTCGCACAGATTTGGTTCCAGTTATCCTCTGTCCTTCACTAGCGCTGACAACTTGGGGAAATTACTCTTGACTGAGTCGTTTCTTTATTTGTAAAATTTGGCCAACTCTGGATGGGTTTGAGGAAGACAACTGTCCCTTCAGTATTCAGGATCCGGAAGGAGCGAAACAGGCCCACCTCCACAGCCTAAGGGCCAATGAGGGCGCGGTGCGCCTCCAGGAACTGCAAATGAGAGGGGAGCTTGCCAGTCACCAAGCGCCAGCCCCGCCCCCTGCCCGCGCGCGGAGGCGCCCAGCTCCACCCTCACCTCTAGGCCAATCAGAGCGAGGTCCGCGCGACCTGTGCCCGGGTGCGCAGTTCAGACGCCCGCCGCTGCTGGGAGGGGTTGCCATGGTCACCACTGAGGGGCCGCGCTGAACAGCTGGCGACCTCCGGGGAGAGAGGCAGCTTCTGATTGGCTACTTCCTAGCTCCCCCGGCGGCCCAGGTGTCTCCCCTCCTCCGTCCCCGCCCTCCCGGAGCCCAACGCCTGGTCCCCTCTCTCCTGTTCCCCCACCCTAATCTGGAGCCCCAGTGGTCTCCCAGGAAGGCTTCGGTGAGAAAACCCTGAAGAAACTGCTGGAGGGTGCTGCGAGAGAGCGGAAACCCTTTTCTAATGAAAGCGTTTTGCTTTCATTAAGCACTGTGCTTAACGAAGCGGGGCTCTGTGCTGAAGTCTTCTGGTGTATCTGGTTTAATCCTCCTTAGACATGAGGAAAAGGAGGCTCAGAGGTTAAGAAGCCCTTCCCAATATCATACAGCTGGGTTTGGGGGAACCTGGTCTCGAGCGGCAGGTGCATCTCACACCAGAACCCCCGATCTTTCCACTGCGCCCCGAGAGAAGTCGGGAAGTGACCAGAGAGTGAAAAATGAGAGCTGGAAGAAAGTAAGAGACGGAGGCCCAAAGGAAGAAAGAAAAGGAAGACACGGAGGAATCAGAGAAAAAAAGAAAGTGGTAAAGAATGAGAGGAAGAGTTTCAGAGGCAGAAAGAATAGAGAGAGGAAACGGAGATTCCCTGAGGGCCGGGAAGCAAGGAGGGTGAGAAAAGAGAGTACAGAGACTCAGAAGGGGGACAGACATCCAGAGAAGGACAGAGACTTGGGACGTTACGGAGAACCAGAGAGAAGGACAGAGGCACAGAGTGAGAGGAGGAGACAGAGCAGATGCAGCCCCCCTCTGTTAACCCCCCACACCCGACACACACACACAGGCGGCGCAGGAAGGAGGCGCAGCCGCAGCGCACACGGGGTCTTTATTAAGGCGGCCAGGCGGGGCCTCAGGGCGCGTCCAGCACCAGCAGCTTGTGCATGTACCAGTTCAGCCAGTGGCGGCGCTCGAGGGCGGCCAGCAGCCGCGCGCGCTCCCGGAACGCCGCGTCGTCCGCCAGCGCGAGGCTCCGCCGCATCGACCGCAGCTCCAGCGGGGTGGCCGGACCCACCCAGGCCCGGCCCGGGGTGCGGAGGCTGCGGGAGACCCAGAGACGCGGTTACCGCGCGTCCAGGCCCCCCGCCCGCCGCCGCCTGTCCTCCCCGCCGTCTAACTCGAAGCCCTGTTACTGCACCGTCTGTGGAGCGGCTCGGTCTCTGTCCCCCGTCTCTCTCTTTCTCCGCGGGGGTCTCTGTCTCTCGGTTCACCAGGTTCGGAGCTCCCTGAGTACGGAGACCGAGTTTGGTGCACCTGTCCGCCCCCAGCGCTCAGCGCACGGCCTGGCGCACGCCAAGAAGTCAATAAACGTTGCTCAAGGAGCGAATCCGTTTCTGCTTCGACTCCTTTCAAGTCTCTGAACGCTTTTCTCGGAATCTTTTTGAATCTCTTTCTCCTGCTGATTTCCTGCCCATTCCCTGTCTCTCTTCCCCTCTAGTCTCTGTCCTCCTCTCTCTGGGTCTCTGTCCCTCTTTCTGAGTCTCTGTCCCCCTTTCTCCTTGGGTCTCTTCCCACCTCTCTAAGTTCCCACCCCTCCCTGGGAGTCCTGGGCGTCGCACGAACCTGAAGACCCCCGCGGGGGGCAGGGCGACTCCTGAGGCAGTGCGGATGCCCCAGGGCACGAGCAGCAGGAGGAGCAGCAGCAGCCGCACCCGGAAGCTCCTGGGCACCTGGCGGGTCTCCATCACCTGTGGGGAGACAGGGAAGAGCTCAGTAAGGCCTGCGTCCTGGCCCAGAACCCCGACCCCACCATCCACCCACCCCCGGCAGCCCGCTGGCAGAGCCCCCTACCGCGCAGTGGGCTCGGGCAGCGAGCCTGGCAGCCCCCTTATATCGCCTCCACGGCCCCCGCAGCGGGCAGTGACGCAGACCAGGGGGCCCAGAGCGCGGGGTCAGCTCCCCCCAGGCTCATTAGGAGCCGCCAGCGGTAATGAGGAGCCGGGGGCGGGGGCCCCGCCGCTGCTTTGGCGGCCACCAACTAATTGGAACCAGGAGCTGGGACCTGAGGAGAAGGGGGAGGCCGAGAGACAGACAGACAGAGAAGTGGACACGGGGGGTGTGTCAGAAGGATAAAAATAGAGACCAGCGGAGGGACCATCAGTGCAGAAGCCAGAGACAAAGAGAAAGAGAGACAGGGAAAGCAACAGAGGGGGAACTGATGAGGAGAACCAGAGACACAAGGAGATAAAGTGACCTCGAGAGGGAAGGACAAAGAGAGTAACATAGAAAAGGAAAGAGAGGAAGAAAGAAGGGAAAAGGAAGGAAGAAGGAAACTGACAAAGAGAGCCAGCTAGAGATGGAGGGATGAGAGGAAAGGCTCTGAGAAAGACAGAAGGAGACAGAGACAGCCAACCTGGACAGAGATGCCCAGAGACAAATCCAGAAAGAGAGAGTGAGAGATGGGAGGGGGAAAAGAAGAGAAGGCAACGGGATACAGCAGTGGGGGGTGTGAAGGCAGGTAAAGCAAAAGGCAAAATCGAAAAGTCTTTGACTGTGAAGACCCCCCCAGCTGCCCTGTGGGTGTGTCTAAGCCTTCCTGGGTGGGGGGTGAAATTGGGGGAGTTGTGAAGATAAAGCCCAACCCCACACACAGCGGGGAGGTAGGCAAGGGTTGGGAAGTCCCAAGGGGTAGTCTGGGTGTCGGATTGGCAAGATATGGGAACCTAGACTTCCTAGTTCACCAGAGAGGAGGGGAACAGGCTCTGGGCTCCTGGGTCTTGGAGTGGAAGGGACAGGGACCAGACTCCTGGGTTCTGGGGTAGGAACAGTCTGAGGATCTGGACTTCTGGATCTGAGAGGAAGGAGCTAGGGGCTCTGACTCCTGGATCTTGAAGTAGGAGGGTACGAGGGACCTGGACTCTTGGGTTTGGGGATAGGAGAGGGCGGAGGGCCCAGAGCCGTGGTTTCAAAAGGAAGATAGCTTGGCTGGGCCACATCCCTCCACCAGGCGATCCAGTCCCTGACTCCATTCCCCACTCCAGGGACAATGTCCTTTACCTCTGTCCCTTTAAGAGCCCAAGTCTGTCGCTAGGCTTCCAGGATCCCCAGGGAGGGGGTCAGGTGCGTCACCTGCACCCTTGGGACCCAACCTCCTGCCACCCCACCCAGAGCCATTCTGCAGCATTCACCAATCTCCGCATCCAGCTCCGCTCACCTGCTGTTATCTTGGATCCCACCGAGCAGGTAAGAGACCCCAGGAACCCAAGTGACCCTGTCCCATCCAGGTGTCTGCGACCCCCACCTTCACCAGACCACAGACCTAGGCATCTCTGCCCCAGACCAGCCCCTGAGACCCTGGGATCCCAGCTCCATCCTCAATAAACAGAGAGACCTGAGTCCCGCCCCGCAGCTCTCTCCTCTGAGGAATCCAGACCCCCCAGCCCTGTCTCTGGAGGACCTAAGACTCAGAGTCCCCAACCCCCTTCTAACTCAGGACCTAACAGATCAAGACTCTCATCTCCTCTCTCCCCTGTAATGCAGCCCCCCTCCCCAAGCTTTGCTCCCTCCAAATTCTAGGCATCTGAACCCCCAGGCCTCTCCTGTCTAAAGGACCAGGAATTTAGACCGCCAGTGCCCTCCACCCTCTGGGACTCAGGAGTCTTGGGCATCAGCCCCAAACTGTTCCTTCTGAGCCTCCTCTAGTGTAAACAACTGTTGAGTCAAGGTGTACCCTGGGCCCTCGGAAAGGAAGGGATCCCGTGTCCCCTCGGAGGTCTATACCCTCCGAAATCCAAGTCGAGGAGGTCTGGGGGCTTGGAGAGGTGTCATTCTCCCAATTTTTCTGCTACCCTCTCGGGGAAACAGATAAGGAAATTAACTACGACTCCCGAGAAACCCCGCGCTTCAGTCTCGCTTAGCTACGGCGGCTACCGCCCCACAGCCTTCAGGGAGTTGCCATTCGGTTCTCTTCCTTTCCTAGGCGCCCAGCTGGGCGGGGAAGAAGTCCACCTGGGGACCAGTGGGCGAGGCCTCTGTGGGTGGGCGTGGCCTCCGCGAGCGGGGGTGGCCCTGGGAGTGGGCGTGGCCTCGCGAGGGGATGAGGGCTCCCGGGCGGCTTCCGGGTTAACCCCTTCCTTCCCGCTCGCCCGCAGCTATAGGCGTCTCCCAGAGCTATGAAATCCTTCAGCCCGATCCTCTTCCTCCTCGTCTTCCTCCTCGCCTGGCTGGGTTCCCAGGCCGCCCCTTCGGCCTCACCGCCTGCGGGCTCCAACTTCCCGGGGATGGGCCACCCCTCTGAGATTTCCCCTCACGCTTCTGAAAATTCCACCCGCGACTGGCCTAACCCAGAGTCCCCTGAGAGTGCTTATCCTGAGCCCTCCAAGATGCCTCATGCAGTTTCCCCAGAACCTTCCCCCCTTAACTTCACTGAGACCCCCAACCCTGACCTCCAGGAAACCCCAGATCCAGAGTCTCCTGAGACCCCCAAACCCAACTCACTCAACACCTCAATATCAGAATCCCTGGAGACCCCCAACATGAACTCCTCCAATACGACACATCTAGAACCTTCTGAGACCCCCAAACCTGACTCGACTGAAGTTCCACACGCAGAATCCCCTGAGACCCCCGAACCTAACCCCTCCAGAACTTCACACCCAGCATCTCCTGAGACCCCAGACACTGAGCCCACCCAAACTGCACCCCAAGAATCCCCAGAGAGTCCAAAACTTAACTCCACTGAAATGTCACGTGCAGAAGCCCCTGAGACCCCGGATCCTCACCCCAGCAAGACCCTTGACCCCAAATTTCCAGAAACTCATGACCCTGACACCACTGAGACCCCGAACTCTGAATTCCTCCAGACCCTCCATCCTGACCCTACCGAAGCCCCTCGCCCAGAATCCCCTGTAACCCATAACCCCAGCCCTACTGAGATTCCCCAAACAGAATCCCCCACAACTCCCTACCAAGGTGCCACAGAGATCCCTACGACCTCTGACCCTGAGCTCTCCCTTAGTCTTCACCCAGAAACACCTGCACCCTTCAAGGAGGAAGCTACGGCCCTAAATGAGCTGCCCCTGAATCCCAAGCCGGAAACCCTTGCAGCCACCCAGCCGGGCTCCCTTAAATCGCCCACCTCAGATTCTCCTGGGACCGTTGAGCTGAAGGCCCCCCAGAATTTTAGCTCTAAAGGGCCCAATGTCCCTCCTCCCTCAGCCCGGATTGCGGGCCCCCCTGCTCCTCCAGGGCCCCCCAGTCAGTCGGCCCCGGCCACTCCGCGGGCCCCCCAGCGGCGCAGCCGAGGTGAGAGAGTCAACACTATCATCGTGGTGGAACGAGTGCAGGAGACCGGTGAGGGGCTAGGACGGGACTCCTGGGTCTGAGGGAGGAGGGGCCTGGGAGTCTGGACTCCCGGGGTCGGAAGGAGGAGGGAGCTGTGGGCCGGGATCCAGAGTCTGAGAGGGGAGGAAGAGGCTAAGGGCTCAGACTCCCAAGTCTGATGGCTGATGCTGTTGGGTCTGAGGGAGGAGGGGCTGGGGGCTGGACTCCCGGGTCTGAGGGAGGAGGGGCTGGGGGCCGGATACCTGGGTCTGAAGGAGGAGGGTCTGGGGGCCTGAACTCCTGGGTCTGAGGGAGGAGGGGCCGGGAGTTCGATTGCTCATTCCCTGGCTCCTTCCTTAAGGCGTGACCCTGGTGGGACGTCCCCGGGGTGTGGCGGGCGGGGCCCTGTGTCTCTTCCTCGCTGGAACCGGGCTGCTGATCGGCATTTTCCTGCTGCTGTGGTGTCTCTACCGCCGGGCGGCTCGACACAGGCCCTTCGCACACCACCGGCTTCCGAACGACGGAGATGAACCGGGTGAGCGACCCTTACATTGACCGGCCCTTGAATACCTGCACGTTTCCGTAACCTGGGTTCTCCTGGCATTTGAGGGCGCCCTGCCAGAAAGTACAGGTCTCCCATGTAAGGTCAATAGAAGCCCTGACCCCTCCATGGGCAGGTCCTGCCCCCTAAGTCTCTGAAATTTCGCACACACACGTCCAGCCCTGCGCCCAGCCCAGCAGAGACTAGCGGCAGGATCCGAGCCACCGGTCTCTACAAGCCCCGCCCCTTCCCCTAATAGAGGGCGGCCCGAGCCCTTTAGGCCCCGCCCCTACGCTGCAGGCCCCGCCCCTGCCGCAGGACGCCACGCCCCCTTGTCTATTAAGAGACCTCATCCTTTAATTCGGAAACCCAGCTCCAAGGGTGGTCGGAATTCTCTCCCCCGCCTCCCCATCGGTCAGCGGCGCAGCAGAGGAGACAGGCCCCCTATCAGCCTGGGGATGACCACGCTCCTTTGCTCCCGCAGTTATGCATTTGGACACCCCGAAGGACCCAGCCTATGACCTCTACTTTTATGCCCCGGACGCTTGGGTCCCTTCACACATCGCCACCAAGCAGCCGCCGCCCACCCCCCCGCTGCCGCCCAAGCTGCCCCCGCCGCCCCGCGGGGGTCGCCCCCAGCCCCTGGAGCCGCTCTCCCCCGCCACGCTCCCCAACAACTTCGTCTGAGCCCCGCTCGGTCCCTCCAGACCAGCAGGATCCCCAGGCCGAGGAAGGCCCCAGAGGTCCTGTCCTCCCGGCACGCTTTGCTACATAGTGGTCCTCTCGGTCCAGCACACAGAGATGCTTTCGCTCTGACCAGAGAACGCAGCCTGAGGCCGAATAAATCACGTGTCCCCACGCCTAGACACCTCCTCTGCCTGAGTCCTGGGGGAGGAGGGGCTGGGACTCTGGGACTGAGGGAGGAGGGGCTGGGGGCCAGGACTCCTGTGACTTCCACGACCAATGACGACTACGTACACCAAAGCATTTTATTGGGCGTGAGGGAGGGCAGGATTTACGGTCACAGAGACAGAGACACAAAGACACAACCCTGCCCGGGGAAAAACACCCCTCTCCCCCAGCCCCTTCCCTTTCCTGTGACTTCCCCTATATACGTTCCCCAAATTCTAAGCCGAAATAGGGGAGTCTGAGAGGAGAAGGATCCCAGATTTTGAGTCATTTAACCCCTGAGGGACACCACAAATGGCCACTGAGAAAACGAGGGTAGTTTGAAACCACCCAGGAGAATAAAGTGCAAGGAATTGTGGGGAAGAGGGGCATCTTGAAACCACCACGGGGAAGTTCGATGGTGGTGGCTTCAAACCGTTGAGTTGCTAGACTTGAGCAGCCACTATTCAGACCTGAAAACCGTGTCGGAAAAAGTGCATGGGGGTGGAGAGGCGTATCGTTAAACCCGCCGTTTTGGTTATTTCCCTAGACTTTGCGCTAAGCCAGGGAGAAGGTTTTGGGGAGTTTGGTGCTTCAGCAGAATCTGCTGGTGGAGAGAGGGACGAAAGGGGGAGGGGGGACTTGAAACCGCCATTTTCCCTCAGAAACGCTGGTGAGAATCAATCCTTAGAATGGCGGGGACGGGTGATTGGTTAAACCAATCTGGCAAATGCAGAATAGAGTTGGGAGATTTGAAAGTTCTAGAGGAAGACCTTGAATTTTTCTGAAAGGAGAGGGGGGCTGACTGATCTCAGGGCTTAGCCCGAGAGTCCGTGGGGTTAAAGGAGAGGGAGGAGGTGCCCCAAAACCACACGAGAGAGTACGAGATTGGACTGTCCACTCAAATAAAGCCCTGAAAGGAGAGATTTGAAACCACTGAGGCAGAACAAGAAAGGAACCTTTAGGGGAATTTGGGTATTCTTGAAACTGCCAGTCTGCAGCTTTGCTACCCCTGAGAGGCAATTGGGAAGGGAAGAGGACGTGACAGCACTGGGAACCAGGGAGAGTGCTTCGTAGGCCTGAGGCAGGACAGAGAGGACTGGGGTTCCTAGACACTGTCACTCAAGCCAGAGATGTGTGGAATGGAGGTCCTGGAAACTGCCATCCAGTGGGAGGCACATGGTCAGTAGTCCCGGACAGGGGGTGGGGGTCTTGGGGGCTGAACTGTGCTGTGTGTGGCCCCGTATGAGGGAGGGGGAGCAGGGGGCGCCCCGGGGGGCTCAGCCTCATCCTCCATGTCGCTTTCGTCACTGCCAGCCAGCTGGTCATGGCCAACAAAGCCACACTTCTCTTCGCTCATCTCCTCAGGCTCCGCCCACGGCTGCTTCTCTCCGGAAGCAAAGACCCCGTAGAAGATGACACCCCCATAGTGCACCAGGGAGGCAATGAGGAACACGTACTGCCACTCCTCCCGAGTCTGTGAGGGGACAATAGGGAATTGGGGTCAGAGGACAGAGAAACAGGGGGTGGAGAGAGACCCTGAAAGGGGGAGGGGAGGCCCGGAGAAAGGAAGACGGAGATAGACAGAAAGGCTGAAGGTGACCCAGAGAGGCAGGGGTGGAGCCCACGGAGGGTGACACAAAATTTGGAGCGCGAGCGGGTCAGGAGCGGTGCACAGACCTTGTGCTTTGTCATGGCGCCCACGATGATGGGGCACACCATGCCCGACAACGTGCCCACACCGTTGGAGATGCCCATGAGGATGCTGGCATAGCGCGGGGCGATGTCCAGGTGGTTCACGTTGAACCCTGGCGAGGCCAGCCAGGAGGCGTCACACCCGAGTCTCACTCAAGCGACTCCCACTGGGCCGCCCTCCCCCATCCCTCTTCCCATTCCCCTCCCCCCTCCTTCCCGCTGCCCTTTCTAGTCCACCTTTTTCGAGGCTGGGAGGTCCCCTTCCTGAGCCAGGAAGTTCCCCACAGAGCTGACCAGGATCCCCCAAGCTCCAGATCTGCGGTTCTCACCAGAGATGGCGAAGCCGCTGAAGCCCACGGCGAGGACCAGGAAGGAGATGGCCACACCCTTGGAGTGCGAGTAGCCGACCACCAGCAGCAGCGTGGCCTCCATGCCGAAGCCTATGGAGGGCCGCCTCATCTGAGCGCTG